ATTATAGAGGTACATAATGGGTCCAGGGACTGCACCTCAACTCCCTCTCTTCAGTACCATTAGTTGTGAAAGAGAATTCGAGGACCACAATGGAAATAAGTCACTTTGTCTGACATGTGTTTTTCTGGTGGGTAATTTATACACATTACTGTGTATGATAATTGTACTTGTGTGTACCTGTACCTAAAACTGATTCATTATATAAACTTATTCATTAATTTGTGTTTTTTATTGATAAAAATCAAAGCAGAGAGAAAGATTAGTTTTGTTAAATTTTGATGTCAAAGATGCTAGTTTATTGTGTCCTTTATACTGTGGATGGTAGTGGCTAGTTTATTGTGTCCTTTATACTGTGGATGGTAGTGGCTAGTTTATTGTGTCCTTTATACTGTGGATGGTAGTGGCTAGTTTATTGTGTCCTTTATACTGTGGATGGTAGTGGCTAGTTTATTGTGTCCTTTATACTGTGGATGGTAGTGGCTAGTTTATTGTGTCCTTTATACTGTGGATGGTAGTGGCTAGTTTATTGTGTACTTTTACTGTGGATGGTAGTGGCTAGTTTATTGTGTACTTTATACTGTGGATGGTAGTGGCTAGTTTATTGTGTACTTTATACTGTGGATGGTAGTGGCTAGTTTATTGTGTACTTTATACTGTGGATGGTAGTGGCTAGTTTATTGTGTCCTTTATACTGTGGATGGTAGTGGCTAGTTTATTGTGTACTTTATACTGTGGATGGTAGTGGCTAGTTTATTGTGTACTTTATACTGTGGATGGTAGTGGCTAGTTTATTGTGTTACTTTATACTGTGGATGGTAGTGGCTAGTTTATTGTGTACTTTATACTGTGGATGGTAGTGGCTAGTTTATTGTGTCCTTTATACTGTGGATGGTAGTGGCTAGTTTATTGTGTACTTTATACTGTGGATGGTAGTGGCTAGTTTATTGTGTCCTTTATACTGTGGATGGTAGTGGCTAGTTTATTGTGTACTTTATACTGTGGATGGTAGTGGCTAGTTTATTGTGTACTTTATACTGTGGATGGTAGTGGCTAGTTTATTGTGTACTTTATACTGTGGATGGTAGTGGCTAGTTTATTGTGTCCTTTATACTGTGGATGGTAGTGGCTAGTTATTGTGTCCTTTATACTGTGGATGGTAGTGGCTAGTTTATTGTGTCCTTTATACTGTGGATGGTAGTGGCTAGTTTATTGTATACTTTATACTGTGGATGGTAGTGGCTAGTTTATTGTGTCCTTTATACTGTGGATGGTAGTGGCTAGTTTATTGTGTACTTTATACTGTGGATGGTAGTGGCTAGTTTATTGTGTACTTTATACTGTGGATGGTAGTGGCTAGTTTATTGTGTACTTTATTACTGTGGATGGTAGTGGCTAGTTTATTGTGTACTTTATACTGTGGATGGTAGTGGCTAGTTTATTGTGTCCTTTATACTGTGGATGGTAGTGGCTAGTTTATTGTGTCCTTTATACTGTGGATGGTAGTGGCTAGTTTATTGTGTACTTTATACTGTGGATGGTAGTGGCTAGTTTATTGTGTCCTTTATACTGTGGATGGTAGTGGCTAGTTTATTGTGTCCTTTATACTGTGGATGGTAGTGGCTAGTTTATTGTGTACTTTTATACTGTGGATGGTAGTGGCTAGTTTATTGTGTACTTTATACTGTGGATGGTAGTGGCTAGTTTATTGTGTACTTTATACTGTGGATGGTAGTGGCTAGTTTATTGTGTACTTTATACTGTGGATGGTAGTGGCTAGTTTATTGTGTACTTTATACTGTGGATGGTAGTGGCTAGTTTATTGTGTACTTTATACTGTGGATGGTAGTGGCTAGTTTATTGTGTCCTTTATACTGTGGATGGTAGTGGCTAGTTTATTGTGTACTTTATACTGTGGATGGTAGTGGCTAGTTTATTGTGTACTTTATACTGTGGATGGTAGTGGCTAGTTTATTGTGTACTTTATACTGTGGATGGTAGTGGCTAGTTTATTGTGTACTTTATATGTGGATGGTAGTGGCTAGTTTATTGTGTCCTTTATACTGTGGATGGTAGTGGCTAGTTTATTGTGTACTTTATACTGTGGATGGTAGTGGCTAGTTTATTGTGTCCTTTATACTGTGGATGGTAGTGGCTAGTTTATTGTGTACTTTATACTGTGGATGGTAGTGGCTAGTTTATTGTGTACTTTATACTGTGGATGGTAGTGGCTAGTTTATTGTGTACTTTATACTGTGGATGGTAGTGGCTAGTTTATTGTGTCCTTTATACTGTGGATGGTAGTGGCTAGTTTATTGTGTCCTTTATACTGTGGATGGTAGTGGCTAGTTTATTGTGTCCTTTATACTGTGGATGGTAGTGGCTAGTTTATTGTATACTTTATACTGTGGATGGTAGTGGCTAGTTTATTGTGTCCTTTATACTGTGGATGGTAGTGGCTAGTTTATTGTGTACTTTATACTGTGGATGGTAGTGGCTAGTTTATTGTGTACTTTATACTGTGGATGGTAGTGGCTAGTTTATTGTGTACTTTATACTGTGGATGGTAGTGGCTAGTTTATTGTGTACTTTATACTGTGGATGGTAGTGGCTAGTTTATTGTGTCCTTTATACTGTGGATGGTAGTGGCTAGTTTATTGTGTCCTTTATACTGTGGATGGTAGTGGCTAGTTTATTGTGTACTTTATACTGTGGATGGTAGTGGCTAGTTTATTGTGTCCTTTATACTGTGGATGGTAGTGGCTAGTTTATTGTGTCCTTTATACTGTGGATGGTAGTGGCTAGTTTATTGTGTACTTTATACTGTGGATGGTAGTGGCTAGTTTATTGTGTACTTTATACTGTGGATGGTAGTGGCTAGTTTATTGTGTCCTTTATACTGTGGATGGTAGTGGCTAGTTTATTGTGGACTTTATACTGTGGATGGTAGTGGCTAGTTTATTGTGTACTTTATACTGTGGATGGTAGTGGCTAGTTTATTGTGTACTTTATACTGTGGATGGTAGTGGCTAGTTTATTGTGTCCTTTATACTGTGGATGGTAGTGGCTAGTTTATTGTGTCCTTTATACTGTGGATGGTAGTGGCTAGTTTATTGTGTCCTTTATACTGTGGATGGTAGTGGCTAGTTTATTGTGTACTTTATACTGTGGATGGTAGTGGCTAGTTTATTGTGTCCTTTATACTGTGGATGGTAGTGGCTAGTTTATTGTGTATACTGTGGATGGTAGTGGCTAGTTTATTGTGTCCTTTATACTGTGGATGGTAGTGGCTAGTTTATTGTGTACTTTATACTGTGGATGGTATGGCTAGTTTATTGTGTCCTTTATACTGTGGATGGTAGTGGCTAGTTTATTGTGTACTTTATACTGTGGATGGTAGTGGCTAGTTTATTGTGTACTTTATACTGTGGATGGTAGTGGCTAGTTTATTGTGTACTTTATAACTGTGGATGGTAGTGGCTAGTTTATTGTGTCCTTTATACTGTGGATGGTAGTGGCTAGTTTATTGTGTCCTTTATACTGTGGATGGTAGTGGCTAGTTTATTGTGTCTTTATACTGTGGATGGTAGTGGCTAGTTTATTGTGTACTTTATACTGTGGATGGTTAGTGGCTAGTTTATTGTGTACTTTATACTGTGGATGGTAGTGGCTAGTTTATTGTGTACTTTATACTGTGGATGGTAGTGGCCTAGTTTATTTTGTGTACTTTATACTGTGGATGGTAGTGGCTAGTTTTATTGTGTCCTTTATACTGTGGATGGTAGTGGCTAGTTTATTGTGTCTTTATACTGTGGATGGTAGTGGCTAGTTTATTGTGTCCTTTATACTGTGGATGGTAGTGGCTAGTTTATTGTGTCCTTTATACTGTGGATGGTAGTGGCTAGTTTATTGTGTACTTTATACTGTGGATGGTAGTGGCTAGTTTATTGTGTCCTTTATACTGTGGATGGTAGTGGCTAGTTTATTGTGTATACTGTGGATGGTAGTGGCTAGTTTATTGTGTCCTTTATACTGTGGATGGTAGTGGCTAGTTTATTGTGTACTTTATACTGTGGATGGTAGTGGCTAGTTTATTGTGTCCTTTATACTGTGGATGGTAGTGGCTAGTTTATTGTGTATACTGTGGATGGTAGTGGCTAGTTTATTGTGTCCTTTATACTGTGGATGGTAGTGGCTAGTTTATGTGTACTTTATACTGTGGATGGTAGTGGCTAGTTTATTGTGTACTTTATACTGTGGATGGTAGTGGCTAGTTTATTGTGTACTTTATACTGTGGATGGTAGTGGCTAGTTTATTGTGTCCTTTATACTGTGGATGGTAGTGGCTAGTTTATTGTGTCCTTTATACTGTGGATGGTAGTGGCTAGTTTATTGTGTATACTGTGGATGGTAGTGGCTAGTTTATTGTGTCCTTTATACTGTGGATGGTAGTGGCTAGTTTATTGTGTACTTTATACTGTGGATGGTAGTGGCTAGTTTATTGTGTCCTTTATACTGTGGATGGTAGTGGCTAGTTTATTGTGTATACTGTGGATGGTAGTGGCTAGTTTATTGTGTCCTTTATACTGTGGATGGTAGTGGCTAGTTTATTGTGTACTTTATACTGTGGATGGTAGTGGCTAGTTTATTGTGTACTTCATCCTGTGGATGGTAGTGCCAAGAAAATCTAGGTAGACAAAAGGTGTAGGAACTAGACCCCCAAAGTGCATCTGGGTTGATATCTACACTTATCTGCTGCAAGATAAGTAGTATATTTGATTAATATGTCTGGTATCTTACTTTCATTCATAAAATATCTTGACGTATAAGTTATACTATCTTTATAATCCTCAGTAATCAGGTGTTGAAGAGAGTGACCATAATCCTGGCTACTACATATTGTCTGCCAGAAGTATTTGTAGCCAAGCCTAAGCCTATCTACTACATATTGTCTGCCAGAAGTATTTGTAGCCAAGCGTAAGCCTATCTACTACATATTGTCTGCCAGAAGCATTTGTAGCCAAGCCTAAGCCTGGCTACTACATATTGTCTGCCAGAAGTATTTGTAGCCAAGCCTAAGCCTGTCTACTACAACATCAGTGTCCAAGTGCAAGTCGCTCCATTAAGGTACTTATCTACGTTCATGTTATCATAGTGGATGGTAGATCTACACAGGCTTCTAGCTGCATTCCTATAACATTCAGTTTCATTATTTACTTCTCTCCTAATATTATTCCTAATGCTACACACACACACACACACACAGAGTAGGGACCAGTGAAGAGGCGGGGCCAGGAGCTAGGGCTTGACCCCTGCAACCTCAACTAGGTGAGTACACACACACACACCATATTCTACAGACGAATGTACTCTGACATTCACTTATCCAAGAAAGGTAATACCAGCTGCTCTAAGTTGAATCATCAGTTCACAGCTGTATCAGCCTGGGGAAAATGATGGCTGGTTACATTTGGTCTTGAGAAAACATAAATGATGGTATCTAGGCACCATGATGGTAATGCTAGAGTAGTGATAAGAATGAATGGGTGTGTGTTGGTACCCGGGTGAGTTGGGTATTCTTGGGGTGAAATATGATTCCAAATTGACTATAAAGAACCACATGTGTAAATCATTCAAATGAAGCCCGGGAAAAGTTGCTGACTTGTTGGGGACAATAATAAGTAAGTATCTACACCATGAGTATGCTAGACTAGTGATATGAACTGGCCTGTGTCTTACCCGGTGAGTTGGGTATTCTGACGTGAAATGATTAAAAGAGCAAGACGAACCACTTGTAAATCTTCATCTCAGCAAATCAGCACCCAGGATTGGGTATCTACTCTGTATGACACAAGTAATGTAGTCAAAGACGCCACATTGATAGCTCCGCGGACAGCTACCCCTTCCTTGCCATCTAAGACGGAAGAGAACAACAACTACTCACTCTGGCTGCCCATCTCATCCAAGTTCACCCCAATGGATCATTTATTACCAGAATTGTAAAGACTCATGTCTGTAACATGTTCGTACCACAAAGGGCAGCATACCAATACACACTGTTGACCATCTGAATCACAGATGATCATTTTCAGTCTATTTCCTGTTTGTCAGCATAATAAAAAAATATTTATCAATTGAAGCAAGATGTAGATTCACTATGCCTTTACTGTAAATAAAAAAATTTGGAATGAGCTGATGTAGAGAAGAGACTAAGAAATAAAGATGGTGATCTGGGAGAGAAAGAGACGTGTCAGGACGGAGGCTGACGTGTTTAAGCTGATGAGAAGGGACGACTTAGTCACCAGTAGTCTTAGTAGCTTAGCTGAGTCTTCACATAGCTATGAGGCTAGCTGAGCCTTCCCGTCACCAGTAGTCTTAGTAAGCTTTAGCTGAGTCTGTCACCAGTAGTCTTAGTGAGCTTTAGCTGAGTCTGTCACCAGTAGTCTTAGTAAGCTTTAGCTGAGTCTCCCAGTCACCAACAGAGTATATACCTGGAGTATACCTGGAGAGGGTTTCGGGGGTCAACGCCCCCGCGGCTCGGTCTGTGACCAGGCCTAATGGTGGATCAGGGCCTGATCAACCAGGCTGTTAGTGTTGGCCACACAACACGATGTACGAACCAGAGCCCAACTGGTCAGGTACTGACTTCAGGTGCTTGTCCAGTGCCTACTTGAAGACAGCCAGGGGTCTATTGGTAATCCCCCTTATGTATGCTGGGAGGCAGTTCAACAGTCTTGGGCCCCTGACACTTACTGTGTTGTCTCTTATTGTGCTAGTGGCACCCCTGCTTTTCATAGGGGAAATGTTGCATCTCCTGCCAAGTCTTTTGCTTTTATATGGAGTGATTTTCGTGTACAGGTTTGGTGCCAATCCCTCCGGAACCTTCCAAATGTATATTATAATGTATCTCTCCTGCCAGCATTCCAGGGAGTACAGGTTGAGTAACTTCCAGCATTCCAGGGAGTACAGGTTGAGGAACTTCCAGCGTTCCAGGGAGTACAGGTTGAGGAATTTCCAGTGTTCCAGGGAGTACAGGTTGAGGAACTTCCAGCGTTCCAGGGAGTACAGGTTGAGGAACTTCCAGCGTTCCAGGGAGTACAGGTTGAGGAACTTCCAGAGTTCCAGGGAGTACAGGTTGAGGAACTTCCAGCGTTCCAGGGAGTACAGGTTGAGGAACTTCCAGCGTTCCAGGGAGTACAGGTTGAGGAACTTCCAGCATTCCAGGGAGTACAGGTTGAGGAACTTCCAGCGTTCCAGGGAGTACAGGTTGAGGAACTTCCAGTGTTCCAGGGAGTACAGGTTGAGGAACTTCCAGCGTTCCAGGGAGTACAGGTTGAGGAACTTCCAGCGTTCCAGGGAGTACAGGTTGAGGAACTTCCAGAGTTCCAGGGAGTACAGGTTGAGGAACTTCCAGCGTTCCAGGGAGTACAGGTTGAGGAACTTCCAGCGTTCCAGGGAGTACAGGTTGAGGAACTTCCAGCTTTCCCAGTAACTGAGGTGTTTTATCTCAGAATTTATTGTAATCCTCATTTTAGGTATATAAAATATTCTTGACTGGTGGTGCAGAGGTCTGAGAGTTGTTGTAGTGATAGAAGCAGGTCGTATCAAGTCTCTGAGAGTTGTTGTGATAAAAGCAGGTCGTATCAAGTCTCTGAGAGTTGTTGTTGTGATAAAAGCAGGTCGTATCAAGTCTCTGAGAGTTGTTGTTGTGATAAAAGCAGGTCGTAACAAGTCCCTGGGAGCGGCATAGTCTATTCATCTCTCAGTAAGATGACGTTTATTTCATGTGGATGGGATCGATCTTCCTGTGGCATCGTTCACAACTTTTAGCGTTTAGTGAATGTCACTGACCTTCCCTTAACTTTCACTGGTGCTGTTGGGAAGACATTTAGGGACGTGAAGGTATGAGTTATGTAGCAGAGTTTATCGTTGAGGAACTCTGTGCTCTATATCCTAGAGGCTTAGCGATAGAGAGAGTCAGGACGACTCTAAAGAGACGCTTGAGTTTCTCTGTCTTCTGATATTATGTTTATTTGCCCATGTTTCAGAGGGAGATGATAATGGACTCTGTAGCTCTCAGGGACTTGATACGACCTGCTTCTATCACTACAACAACTCTCAGGGACTTGATACGACCTGCTTCTATCACTACAACAACTCTCAGGGACTTGATACGACCTGCTTCTATCACAACACCTCTCAGGAACTTGATACGACCTGCTTCTATCACTACAACAACTCTCAGTAACTTGATACGACCTGCTTCTATCACTACAACAACTCTCAGGGACTTGATACGACCTGCTACTATCACAACAACAACTCTCAGTAACTTGATACGACCTGCTTCTATCACTACAACAACTCTCCGTAACTTGATGCGACCTGCTACTATCACAACAGCTCTCAGGGACTACCTCGCCCATAACTACTATCAATCACAATTACTTTGTTTCGTGAGGTGAAGTCCAGGATCTTAACTTAATTCATGGTATAACTTAAATCTTCTCGTCCTCGTCCTCCTCTTCCTCGTCCTCCTCTTCCTCGTCCTCGTCCTCCTCTTCCTCGTCTCCTCCAGTGGGACTGGATCGATGGCTCCGCCAAGTTAAGATCATCCAGAAGTTCTTGACATCAAATCATCCTGTGGTGATGACTGAATTATCATCCAGGTGAGGATGTTCATTATGATGTCCAGCAGTGTCTACTGTGATGTCCAGCAGTGTGTACTGTGATGTCCAGCAGTGTCTAAATACTGTGATGTCCAGCAGTGTCTAAATACTGTGATGTCCAGCAGTGTCTAAATACTGTGATGTCCAGCAGTGTCTAAATACTGTGATGTCCAGCAGTGTCTAAATACTGTGATGTCCAGCAGTGTCTAAATACTGTGATGTCCAGCAGTGTCTAAATACTGTGATGTCCAGCAGTGTCTAAATACTGTGATGTCCAGCAGTGTCTAAATACTGTGATGTCCAGCAGTGTCTAAATACTGTGATGTCTAGCAGTGTCTAAATACTGATACTAGATGCTAGCTAGTACAATAGTGAGACTTGATACTAGATGCTAGCTAGTACAACAGTGAGACTTGATACTAGATGCTAGCTAGTACAACAGTGAGACTTGATACTAGATGCTAGCTAGTACAACAGTGAGACTTGATACTAGATGCTAGCTAGTACAACAGTGAGAGTTGATACCATTGCAATACTCTGGTTGGTGTCGTAAACACTTGCAAGAGAGTAAATTCCACCTTACATAATTGTTGTGGTCCTGGGATGGTAGGGGAAGGTCTGTGTAACTAGTTATAGGTCTACAGAATTTTCATAATCTGTTTTATGGGGATACAATTGAACAGAGAAACACCAACCATACCACGGGCGGGGATTGAGCTCGTGGCAAGTGAGTCAAACTCCAGGCCAGTGCGTTAACCACTGGACCAGCTGGCTACAATAAGATTCATTCAACTAGATATATTTATACACCATAGAGAGGTTAGCACAGGCCACACTGTGACCACAAAGGTAAGTCTTGATAGATGAATCTCCCGCCAGCATGGTCTGGAGTTTTACGACTCACTCGCCGCGGGTTCAAGCCCCGCCCGTGGTATGGTTTGTTTGCAGTCGTGTCACTACGATTACGTGAGCAGGGAAAGACGATACTATCTACATTAGCCGCGTAGAGGGAGGTAGTGTGGCCACTACCTCCCTCCAGTATTTAAAGTGTTATATGAGGTCCCTTACTAGTGTGTTAGGTGCCCCGTGGCCTGCTGGCTAAAGCTTTCGCTTCACACGCCGAGTGTCCGGGTTCGATTCCCGGCAAGGGTAGGTTGGGTGTGTTGCCTTACACCGGTTGTCTATATTCCTCATCAGTAAAATAGGTACCTGGGTGTTAGTGGACTGGTGTGGGTCACATCCTGGGTGTTAGTGGACTGGTGTGGGTCACATCCTGGGTGTTAATGGACTGGTGTGGGTCACATCCTGGGTGTTAATGGACTGGTGTGGGTCACATCCTGGGTGTTAGTGGACTGGTGTGGGTCACATCCTGGGTGTTAGTGGACTGGTGTGGGTCACATCCTGGGTGTTAGTGGACTGGTGTGGTCACATCCTGGGTGTTAATGGACTGGTGTGGGT